ATTATATATCTCAAGAAAGCTAAAATTGAAATTAATATACAGTCGCCTCTCACTAATCTGAACCTTTCTAAACTGAACACTATTAAACTCTCTCTAGACTGAACAAAATCTACTAAAACATTTGTAAATTTTATTATAAAGTTCGGATAAGCTGTATATAACTTTTTAAAAACTAAACTTTTTCAAATTTTTATATAGTAAAAAAAAGCAGTCCCGGCAGTTTGGATTAGAGAGTGTTGACTGTAGTTCCTGTTATTTAAAGAGTTTGTAGATAGTTCAATTTCTTTGCTAACAGTATCTTTTTTAAAATGAAATCCATTATAAATTTCTAATATTAGATAGCTGTTGGAATTGTTAGTAGTTAATAGTAAAGAATATTAAAAAAAGTTTTACTTTAGAAAAAATAAAAATATAGTATTTGAAGTATAACAGTTATCTTCTGTAAAGATGTTTGCCATTTTAAGCTCAGTTCTTATAGCTATATAGAGTACTATAGCCTGCTCTGTATATTGAGTCTGGCTATCATAAACCTGGTTCTCCATGTATATATTTTTTATATATAAAATTTTTTGAAAACAAAATTATAATCAGATAATTGGGTTATTTTTTAAATTTTACATTATAAAAACTAAAAAATTAACTTATATAGCCTAATATACAAATAAAAATTATTTTAAAATATACAATACTTAAAGTTTTTTTTAAGGAGTTTCCTAGGCTTCGCACCCCTGCATTGTGCTTGTATATCGCACCCAAACAATCTACTAATTAAATTTGAAGATCAGGTGTAACGTGCAAATTTCTTTGTATAATGATATTTTTAACCATTCGTAATATCAAAAAATTTCGTCTACATAACTACTTTTCAAGCTCTAACAAAAAAAATTTCTTGCAAAATTATGTTATAAGCTATTGCTCTCTCTAATCTCTAACTCTAACAGTACTCTAACCCAATCCTAACCTAACTTTATATTAATTTATATAAAAGTATTTATCGCAGATCTACAAATTATGTTTACCTATATACTGCGATAAATTAGCACATCGCAAGGTGCGTTGTATAGGATTATCCTTTTTTTAAATATAAATTAAATCAAGAAAAAATGTGCTTGTCACCAGCAGTGACACACCTCTGTGTAATATACGATTAAAACAAACATAAACACATGTAAATTTATTTTCGTTAGAGTTAGGGTTTAGGTTAGGGTTAGGATTAGAGATAACTATATAGTAAAATTTCACGAGAAAATTTTTTTTGCTAGAATAAAGGGTGGTTTCATAGTCAAAATTTTCTGCTATTATAATATTTTTGAAAATAGCGTTTTTTCGCTTCGTTTTCATGTTACATGATCAGGTGTAATGTTAAACCTGATCTTGATTCTTATTGGCACGGTTGGCACGGAATTGTCACCACCGGTGACAAATAGTTTTACTCTTAAATCAAAGATTAGATAAATTTAAATTTGATAAATAATTAGTCTTAATTTAAATTTAATTTAATAAATTATTTATATATTAATTTTGAATTGACCAATCAAATTATTTATCTAAATATATATTAATTTCTAAAAATTTTATATTAATTTCTAACAATTAAAATTTTTAAAAGTTTAAACAAAGATATTTTAGTATCTATTTATAAAATTTAATATTTATTTTATTTTATATATTTATAAAATTAAAATAAAAAAAATATCAAATAGTTACTAAGATACAGTATTTTTTTTTTAATTCCAAAAAGGATCCAAGTTCTAAAAAAAATTTATTAGATATTTTATAGAATTAGATTCAATTTTTAAAAAATCTATTTTTTTTATAAATCATAATTTGGACCAAAATTTTTATAATTCTAATTAGAATTTTTACTATAACTTTAATTATAATTTGTATTTAAACCTTTTAAAACCAATTTTGTAAAAACCTATCAAATCCAATAAAAAAATTAATAAGTTTGTTTTTGCTATGATATATAAATCATCAAATAGTTCCAAATTTAACAATCTCTTAATAATATAAAACTTGTTAACCATATTTATTAGTTTTAACAATTCAATATAATAAAAACTTTTAAAAACAATAACCATAATTTACAAATACAATTTAAAATAAATTATATAGCTAAAGTCACGCATGTTTAATCTTATCCACTTTTACCTAAAGTATCTTGCCTAAAACAACAAAATTGGAAATTATATGGCATATATAATTTGTACAATCAATATAATAGTAATAATAATTTCTTCATCAAATCATGTGATTTTATTACCATTCGTCAAATAGAGCTAAATTGATAATTATGGATCGCCATATATATATATGATATCTGATATATACTATATATAATATTTCCCATTCCTAAATTTATTGTATTAAAATTATGAATTGAATATTTTTTTTCTTTTGTACCTTGGTTGATCAACTTTAATAACAAATCCAATTAGGTTCGATACTGGCGTGTTTCCATGGATTTTGAAAATCATTTTATCAACGATCACATCGATATAATATAAGGCCACATAAACTTAATTTTTTGGTTCTCATAACCCGGCAGGGTCATATTTTGAAAATTTTTTGAAAAAATTTTTTTATATGTTTTAATAGCCGGCCTGTCGGGTCACTTTTTTTTTTTATGTTATGAGAACCAAAAAATTAATTTTATATGGCCTAACATATGTAAAATTTATGAATTAGTGAATAGGAATGTGATTAATTCGATACCACACAAAATAAATTCTTACATTTTGCGTGTTCTGACAAGCATCTACTGTAAGATTACCCAGCATCAAACGCTAAAAACCTTCCTGATAAAGCTTAATAATTCACCATTTCAAACTTAAATACTAAATTTTTTTTGAATTAATTAAAAAGAAATTATTTTAAAAAGTTCGAATTTCAATAATATTAGCAGGGGGTAGGTACATAACGGTAAAAAAAAAAAAGTATCCAGGATGTAGTCTGCATATGACCGAATTAACCAGGTAATTGACTATTAAATAAACAGATGACCGTCTAAACTCCATTATATACATTTATATATCAAATATTTATGTCTTAAACTTGAACAGGTTTATTAAATCTTTTAGTAACGACATAACCTGGTTCAGTATGGTGCTTCCGCTCCTCAGGAGTTGGCACTCTTTTAACATTTTTAACTTCCAAAAGCTCTTTAACTTTTAAAATCATGCCAGCAATGATAGGAGTATGCGAGTGATAAACGGTTTGCGATAATTTAGATAATCCGAGAGCTTTTACTGCCGCACGATGCTTTCTCGGTAATCCTATAGGCGATCGACGTAGTGTGATTTTAAAGAATCCAGTGGTATAATTGTTATGTGAAACCATCTTCGTAAATTGAAACCTAAAGCTGGTGGAAGATGAAAGATGAAATCCCCCAGCGAAATGCGAAATTCCTAGCGAAGGGCGAAACCCCTGATGAAAGAAGAAACCTTTGGGGAAAGACATCTTGAAGCTCTCTAATCAAAAAAAACAAAACATGTCATCTTTAAATATAAACAACTGTTACACAGAAACGTGCTAAAAAAAACTGGCCTTCGTCCCGTAAATTTAATGAATAGTCGATAGAATAACATAACTGATAAGATAGAATTATACTGTACTGTTATGTACTATGTACGCGTTTGAATAATATAATAAATTATTTAGAATTTCACTGCAGTCAAAGATACTTTGAATTTTTTCAATATATATACTTGCATTTCTTAGTCTTCTGTGATCACTAGTCATGTGATTGTGTTTGTAGAATAAAAGTCACAATACTGCAATTATTACACGGAGAAATTAACAAACCGGGTGGCAATAGTAATAGCGATAAGTGTTCGAAGTTCTATAAAGACAAGTCAATATGTCTAGTCCAATACCACCGCCACCACCACCACCTCCTTTACCCAAAGAGTCCTCTTCAACTCCACTTTCCAAGGAATCAACAAAACCAAATGACCAGCCTAATGCTGTTTTTTCAGACATACAAACTCCTCAAGAATTGACTGCATTTGTGGGTTTTTTTTTCCTTCCTTTTTTTTTTTTTTTTGAACAATTTTATAACAGAGCTTATCTTTCAATTGGTCCTTTCTATTATTTCTATTAACAATAGGTAGAGACCATGCTTCGACAATTGGTATTTATAAAGAAGAGAACGTGTATAATTTGTTGTTGAATGATTACTAATATTTATTGTTATTTGGTTATTAATTAAGCAAACAAAATTTGATGACTTATCCACGCAATTAGTCAACAAAAGTATGAATTTTTAATTATTAAATATTTGCTATTTATGCTAGCTTTAAGATATACTGACTTTTATTATGTCTCAAGTGGAAGATATGGATTCACGAATAGATGTGCTTCAAAAATCTCTTGAAACTTTAATGCAACAGGCTAATAACGATAATATTATAGTTGATGATGTGAATAAATAGACAATTATTGCCATTATATAGTATCATAGGAAAATATAAAACATGTTAGTATTTAATTAATATTTTCAAGCATCAGTGATTTGTTTCTTATACTAAAAAAACATGGGTAGGTTGGCAGAAGTAGAAGTAGCTCCAATTAACAATGTAATATTTCGAACAAATTTCGAGCAAATTTAAGATTTATCATATATGATATAGACTATTAATTTATATTTTCGATCTTTATACTTTGTTAAATTATAATTAAATTGCTATTGTATTAGACAATTACCATTGATTTTATAAACTGCACTATTATGGTAGTACTTGAAATATAGGCTAAAATTTCAGCTGCCAGACTGTGTAAAGGATAAAAGAATTAATTGGCTTTCTATATCTTCTATAACATGACTTTGAATGTTTCTCAAAAAAAAACTTTCGAAAAAATTATTAATAACTATATATATATATCAGATATACTGTATATCGATATATATATTAAAATCAATAATCGGAAAAAATAAAATCCATTGTCTACATCATTTAAGTTTTAGTATTACGCATAAAAATAAAGTAGGAACTAAATGCTCACAGTGAGGCTTGAACTCACGACCTTGGCGTCTCAGTAACATATTAGCACCACGCTCTGACCAACTGAGCTATGCGAGCTTTTCTTAATAAATTAAAATTTTTACTTATTCTAATATATTATAAAATTGTTTATGAAAAATTATTTAAAAAACAACTAAAAACGAACTCGACAAAAAAGAATCGAATGACTACTAATGTCTATATGCAAAATCGGATGTAAAGATTTATATTATTCAATAATCAATGATATTTAAAATTTATGTTGAAGGCTTGATGCCCTCAAAAAAAAATATATTATTAATTATAAGTGTTCCACACTAACATATAACCAAAAATGAAATTTGTCCAAGAAAATTTTTCGTCTAAAAAAAAAAATGTCCGAGAAGTAATAATAATACTAGTAGTTTATAAACATTTATCCACGAGTAAATTTTCCGTAAATATGAAGAATGAACACGGATCCGATAAACGCAAGTGCAAGAACGACAACAACAACCGGATCTCTGTAATATTAGCGTACATAAGTTATCTCAAGGTACATTTGATTCATTTGATTCATTTGATTTTCGTTTATTAATTGAATAACTTACACTTTCAAGCCTGGGGCATCATCAGTGTATAGCTTCATCATGGTTGAAGAACTACCACCAGAACGTGAAACGGTTTTATTATTTCCACCCGGCGACGTTGTACGTCTCCTGTGATATGAATGGATTTTTTTATTTCCATGAAAAATTCGATTAACAAAGTTATCTTTACAAAGAGTATAGAAATCGATATTTCATATTCAAAAATTTCCTTCACGATTGAGATTAAGTTTACCTGACAGGACCTTTTGGACTTACAGATTGGACAACGTCCTATATAATAAAAGTCAATCTAATCACTAAGAAAAAAAAAATAGTGCTATGACTCAAGATTAAAAATACATACTGCCATATTGTTTTGCGATATATAGTTAAAAAATATTAAATGAGAGAAAGGTATTCTACGAATTCAACGATTTGGAGACACTGGCTTGTATGTATTTTGTATTTTTTTTTTTTTTGTGTCTCAAATTTGGATTTAAACACGAGTCTTTTCTTCATTGGTGAATGAAGGTTTATTGCAATTTACAGATTTAATGCAATAAAATCTATTATTGTGAAACAATTGATTCTTTTTATATCAAGTTCGACGAATTTTAATACAGTACTGTATATCTGATATACTGTATTAATTTTTTGAATATATATTTTCTCTTGTTAAAAAATAATCTATTTATGGGGCCATAATATATAGTAAAATTATGCAAGGAATATTTTGTTAAGTTCGAATTTTTGAGTTTTGAATTGTACAATCTGATTGGCTCGGGACTGTAACCGCCGGGTCTAATTAACCAATTTTAAACCATATAACAGATCCGGGCTTACTACCTAGTTGAGGGTATATACAGTATCATTTTTTAAGGGAAAAATTTTAAATAACACACTCATTTTGCGGTTCTAAGATGCAGTCATATTATATAAGAAACAAAGCTATATTTGATTAATAAAGATCCCGTGATCCACGTATAATAAATAGGGTGTCTGACATAGTGGCAAGGGCATGCCACTGAGCATAGTATAACAAATTATATTTATAATATAGATACATACTATATGTATAATATTATAAATAATAATGTGTCAGGGTGAAACCCGCGCTGAATTCTAGTAAAACCCGCTTTGATCATAGGGTTTGGGTGAAATCCGCATTAGCATAGTGCTGTGCGTTTTATATGTTAACGCGGATTTAACCAAAATTCAGCGCAGGTTTAACCCCGTATAATAATATTGTGGTATGCCAAAGGCATGCCATGGTACAAATTTTAGCAAAAGGCATGCATTGCGGCATGCCAAATTTTTTTTTGCCGTGCCAAACACCCTAATAATAAATAGTGAGTCTTCTTCTTGGGGTATCTTTTATATAGTGATCTATACAGTAATATCTAATTTAAGATGTATTTTTATTTTATTGATTGGCATCCGTTAGCTGTACTAAATTTAGTACAAAAAGCTTAATTTAGTACAGTAAATAAGTTAAATTTTGCTAAAATTTTATTATTTATTTGAAAATAACTAATTGTACACGGTGTGTTTGAAAATTAAAAGATTTTTTATTAATAAATCATATAGAAAAATGCAGTATGCAGATCATTTTTTGTACAACAAACATAAAGAAAAACAACCAAAAATTAATTGTATTTTAAAATTTTGCTTAAGAAACAATCTATGGGCTCTAAGAAAAAAAATTCATTGTAAAATTTTGGTATAAACTATGCTATACCCTACTCTAGGTCTTAACCCTAACCCTAATATTAATTAAATTATTTTTTATTTTAATAAAAAATCCTTTAATTGATAAAAATTATTATATCTGTGGTCAAACACCCTGTGTACAATTAATTATTTTTAAAATAATTTAATAAATATTAGGGTTAGGATTACGACCTAGAGTAGGGTATAGCATAGTTTATACCAAAATTTTACAAGGAATTTTTTTTTCTTAGAGCCCATAGATTGTTTCTTAAGCAAAATTTTAAAATACAATTAATTTTTGTTTTTTTCTTTATATTTGTTGTACAAAAAATAATCTGCATACTGCATTTTTCTATATAATTTGTGTAGTACAGTGTTCAAACACCTTGTGTGCAAATAGAAATGCTCTTTTTTTATTAAAGAAAATAACTAATTGTACATGAGATATTTGAACATAGATAATAATTTTTATAAATTAAAAAATTTTTGAAAATAACTAATAGTATATGGGGCCCTGAAATAGTATTCTGCATGATTCAGGCCGAGTGGGTATTTTTAAAGATCCGTACCTGGTCTGAACACTGACTCAGACTAAATTTAGAGGCTGAACTCGTATTATTTAGAACTAGGTCCAACCTGAAATCGTGAAATTTAAAAAATTTATAGATACAAAATTGTTAAATAACTAAGACCAAGTGCTCTCAAAAAAAAAAAAGGTTGGTTTGTTGTTTTCGAATGATTTCTTGCCTGATTTTATTTATAATTTTGTCATAATAAATCAAAACGATACAGTAATTCAGGGTCTAGTAATTAATGTAAATATTACAGATATGTGAGTATGTATATATATATCACTGGCTAGATGCAGAAATATGATATTTCATCTGTAAAAAAAAAAAATCTAAATTAGCCAATCATCATTAAGTATTATTATAATAGACCGAACCAGGCAGATCTTTTTGTGGGTTCGAATCGAATCTGAAAAATCATGAGTCCGAACTTGGTTTGTCAACAGACCGGACTAGACCTGTATTTTTTGTGAAACACTACCCTGAAATATACATATATAAATCAAGTATTAGTTTGTTTATTTTGGTGTTTTTTATATAGATATTTTCTATTTATAGGGGTTGTTTAAAGCAGGATGCAATCACGTGATATCGTGCCAATTAACTTGTTTGTTTTGATCAACCCAGATCAGCCCGACAAAGAAACAAAAAAGAAAAAAAGTGAAAAAACACAAAAATACAAAAAACGAGTGTCAAACCTATCTTGGAGCATTAACAAAAACTGTTGGGAAGGCAATTTTACTATAATACCACCCCTAACCCTAACCGCCGACTAACCCTTACCCTAACTTTAATTAAAAAGTCAAAATCATATGGTGCATGTACTCTAGAATCGGCATCACGTGACTAAGGTGGCCAATTTTAGAGGTTCCGGATACTTCCGAATAGAAATTCGGTAAACATAAAATACGAGCAGGTGTTTCTAAAAATTCCTGAATTACTATTTCCGAAATATTAAATTAAATTAATTAAATTATTTCTGAACTCAAATAACTCATTAATATTAAATTATTTCCGAACACTCAAATAACTAATAAACTCAAATACTCAAATACCTCAAATAAAATTAAATTATTTATTTCTGAACTCGAACTCAAATAAAATTAAATTCAAATAAATTAAATTATTTATTTCCGAACTCGAACTCAAATAAAATTAAATTCAAATAAATTAAATTATTTATTTCCGAACTCAAATAAAATTCAGATTCTAAATTTGGAAAATTTTAAAATGAATTAATAGAAAAATTCATTATTGGAAAATTTTAAATGGATCGATAGAAAAATTCATTCAGATCCTAAATTGGAAATTTTAAATAGATCGATAAAGAAATTCATTCAGATCCTAAATTGGAAAATTTTAAATGGAAGTCGACTTTTTTTTTTTTTACTTATGATTTTTTTTCACACGATAGTGTATCAATTATTTTTCAGATCCTAAATTGGAAGATTTTCAAAGTCCTTTTTTTCACATGATAAATAGTGTATCAATTATTTATTCAGAAATGCACCGATAACGGTAACAATAAGTTATTTTAAACAGGAAAAAACAGGGGAAAAACATTCATTTTTTTCCACACGATTATGCGAAAATATCATAATCATAGTCAAGGACCAGAAATGAATAAATATACTAGTAATAGCGTTCACTTTAAGGGACTGACGAAGTTAAGGGTGAGCTTTGAGCTATGAATTTATAGATAAGATGTGATGGAGTGAATTGATGAACAACAAAGAATTCAACTTATATATATGAACACTCACATTCCTTTAAATCTATTGCTAAACTGCTTGTAAAAAAAAAAAAAATAAGAAAAAAAAAATAAAATTAAAAATAAAAAAAAATAAAATAAAAAAATAAAAAAAAATAAAAAAAAATAAAAAAAAATAAAAATAAAAATTTAAATAAAGGGTTGATAATTACTGTAATACCAACTTAGTTTAATCACGGTCACAAAATTTTGATTGGGACAATCAGAATTTGAACTCATTTTATTGCACTACTACCATTACCCGCCCAAACAAGAGAAAGCAGCAACTTAAAGCTGCTAGGGCCAAGAAGTGCACAAAGAAATCGCCTGTATTCCGTGAACAAAGAGATTATAAGGATCTTGTTTGGTCGGATTAGGATATTGATGAGAGAGCTTCCGATTACTTTGCTATTTTATTAACAGCTAGTAAAAACGAAAATATCTGGAAACTTTCGAGCAGGCCTTCAACTTATGTTGGAG